TCTACTAGTTTTACTTCGCTTTTAATTCCATTTAAATTAAATACAAACTCTCTAATCAGATATTATGCCACAGATTGTACCACCACACTTATTCATTTAAGTTATAATCATTCCGTCGGCAAATCTACATTTAGCATTACAACTGCCCAAAAATTCAGGCTATTGTTACTGGCAGTCCAACCAATACAAAAAAATGTTAACAGCGTTGTATTTACCCTGTAATGGGCGCCGAGATTAATAAGATAGGTTCTGCCAAAGCAATACTGAGTTTTAATAATTCTTCTTCTTGTTTATTCCATATTATATAGTTATGATTCGGATTCCATATGGGAGTCACCTTAAACCGCACTATCGAAATTAATATATCGATTGTTCTCTAACGGTATATATTAAATGATATTGCTAGTATCAATATATGTTTGGCTAAATCTAAGTATATTGATCTCACTGCGAACGAGGTTATGGCATGCAACAAAATGAGTAATACCGTCGTCTTAAATACTGTAGAATAATTATATAAAATATTGAAATTATTGTAGTCAGCGTCATTTGAAAAATCTCCAGCTCCTATGTTGAAAAATTCTTAATAACAATATTAATAAAATAAATTTTTTAATAGGTTGCTAAATCAAAATCTGATACGTGAGTGAATAAAACCTATAATAATAAAATATATTTTATAATATTATGTGATGGTGTCATTTAAGGTGTCTTTATTATATACTATTCATTACTGTGTGTTTTTATTAGTTCTATGCTGTATGCGATCAATTTAATATCATCATAGGTAAATAATAAAAACCAGTAGGTTACCGATCGGAAAAATATATATAATATTAAGATATGTAAGTAATACATTTCTTTTTTGAACAAAATTTAAATAATTTAGAAAACAAAAATTCAATAATAATAGTTTATATCGTTGGCATATGATAAAAAATTATAAATTATAATTTCATATGATTTCATTATTTGTATTTACCATTTTTAAAAAATAATGTAATCAAGTATATATAAGTTTCATAAAAATTTACAAATAATAATTAAATATTTGGATTAAAATCTAATAATATATTTTAATAATCACAAACAAATGAATTTTTTAAACAATAATTCAGTTTTATAACAAATAAATAATAATTATTGTATATATTGCTTCCATTTATCCACATTATGATACTGATATGATGAACATATTTATTTATTAATTTATATTTATTTATTAATTTATATTTATTTATTAATTTATATTTATTTATTCTAACCGTTTATAACATTTTTAAATAAATAATTAATTCATCTTATAAAAAAGTAATTTTTCTAAATGAATGAAGAATTTTCACTTCATTCTACATGAAAAATAAAATTGATATATCTGCCGTTTATTGAATAAAGCTGTAATTGAGATACAAAAGCTTTTAAAGATAGTAGCTCATTTGCCATGTATGTCTAAAACTATGCAACACATGAACTGATGTTAAAAAATATCGAATTGGAGATAACTAACTAAATAATAATAATAAGTGATTTATTTATTTTTAAACGTTTATTTTTCATTTCATTAATTGCACATTTCTATGTGGTAACTATAGAATAGCATTTTTAAAAATAGCAACTTAAAAAAATAAAACAAATAAAATAAGTTTCTTTGTTGTTTACTATAAATTCGTTTTCTATATAATTCATTGGAACACAAGTGTAAATATAAAAATCTTTTGTTTATTCTAGTCTCAGTCTCTAGTCTGATTCTTTATATAAACAATACAAATTTCCAATTATTATTTGTTTAAACAACATTGAATTTAATAAATTAATTACTTCTAGAAACAAATAATAGGATTCGTAGTTAATAAATTTTTATGAGCAATGATTCAATCAAAAATAATATCACAATGATATCTATGACTGATTTCAAAAATGCTTTGAAAGCAATTTTAAAAATAGTATTAATTAAAAGTATTCATTTAAAAAGATTAAATTCTAAAATTGTTTAAAATATTTAATAAATTAAATATGTCTAGATATTATATTGCACATATAACAAATTCTATACCTAATAAAATATTCTATAGATTGATACCTAATGCCTTCTTCGACTTAAATAGCTTCAGAAATTATAGTGGATTCAAATAAAATGTTCAATAATTTTTGTGGAAAACCTGAACCATAACTGGTTCCGACATTTGGATTGTACAGGAGTTCCTTTGATAGAGAGAACATAACATATAATCCATTAACAACTTCCACTTTCTTATGTTTTTTTCTAGGACTACTAATTAAGTGACTTTTACTTCTTCGAAAGCGTTTCTTCATTAATGTGGTCAATGGTTTGACATTATGGGAATGCATAGGCAAGAGGATACCGGTAGTATAGAGTAAATATAGAATTGAATTAAAAAAACCTCAAATTACATTTTTTGATTTCGAAGATCGCTTGTTAATAAAAGTATATATTTTAAATGTAACTCCTTATTAGAAGATAGTAATCGAAGGGCAGCGACTATTTCTTAATTTAAATAAAAGTTCGTTGTTGCTGCTGTAATCTTCAATCAATACTCAACAAAACATACACACAGATAAGAAAATGGGAAGGGTTAGAAAGTATAGAATGGGAACTAAGAAATGGAAATAGGTGGGACTATTGAACTTCGCCTGGATCCAGGTAAAAGGAAATTGTCACTTTAATTGGATGGAACCATATATCAATAGGTACTAAGCTTTATTTGTGCATTTGGGCAAAAAAAAATATGGACAACATAATGATAGATAAAGCTACATCTGTGGCGCACATTGCAGATATGCCAATTTATGAGATAGTTTAATATTTAGCATGTGACTATATCTACACCTCGATTATGTAAACTTAACATGTTTTTGCTATAAGAGATAGGCAACTTTCATAACCAGAGATATCATTATCGTCATAGAAAAGTATACTGCCTCGATAAGAAGAGTTGAAAGCCTTTATTTATATATGATCTCAATGATGCTGGTCCCATTGATATGAGAAAGGTATACGACATTTGCAATGTGGAGGGATCATAAGCTCTCAAATTCTGTAGAGATGTCGAAATGTACCGGTATAGAGTACCATCCAGTTCCATTATTCATCTACAATGCTGTGTACCTGTCGAATTGTAAAAGTCTTTTTCCTAAACCTCGATTTAATGAGAAAGAATCAAATTTTTGTTCAGCAGTATTAAACAGTTTATACAGATTTAATAATAAACTGATAGATCTGTAGGAGTCCGTAAGATTCTAATGGTTGTTATAATCTAGTTACTACACTTTTTACATATTATATCGTGTAATGTATTTACATATTTTCACAGCTTTTTAGTTAAAAGAAAAAACAAAACTTGTATTCTTTATAAATTTCTTTATTAGTTATTATTTCCTTATTAATTGAAAGAAAAAGTATATAGATTTTGATTTTATGTTATGCATTAATATATTTTTTATTAAAATTTTGTATATCCAATTGTTTAACATCTGATGCAGTAAAAACAAATATACTAGAAATGAAATGAATGCAATGCTTACTACGTTTTTGCAACATAGTTTAAGGCAAAAACTATAAAAACATTCATATATCATATGAAATATATAACAATAATATATGATATAAAACTAACAATTTTACCTTCGGAGATAAAATAAAATATTTATTATAAATATCAAAGCCATAATTTGTTAGAATATACAATCGTACTTTATTACAATATCTTTTTTTATACTTTTCTTTTTAATTCGCCTACAAAACCACAATAATCGATACAAAATATAAATATATTTATTTATTTAGATTATATTTAGTCTGTATTTGCTATAGTATATTTAATGGTAATATATAAAGGTTTTCTTTTTTTGTTTGATTAATATAACAATTTTTTAACGTTTAACGCAATTAATATAAATTTTACAAGAAGTTCCAAAAAGATTAAAAAAATTACCTATTAAAAATATATATCACAATTAAAGGATCTATATTTAAGCTCTTGCATTTGAACATGTTTTTTCTTGTTTATTGTTTAGTGGTAAAATTTTTATTAATATTCTTAATTCTTAAACTTTTTGGAACAATTTACAAACTTAAAAACATTAAAAACTGCAATAATAAATTTGGTCAGCTATGAATACAACATTAACAGATTTGAATTCAATTTTTTATTAATTATTTAACTTACGATATAAGCGACAAAAAGCATAAATAATAAGAAAAGAAAAAAAAACGAAAAAAATAAGCAGATGATAAACTAAAATGTAACTTATATAGATATTTTTAATAATTTGAACCTAAACAAATATAGCAGTATGAAAAAAAAATTACAGCATTAATGACAAATGACATTTACATTTATATTTAAAATAGTACCCGTCCATCCGAATATACTTTCAAATACATGTTACCTATGTATTGCTTTTTTTTGTATTTAATAGCATAAAAGACTATAAAAGTTGAAAATTTAATAAAAATACATTTTATAAAATACTTACAAAATAATGCAATTATTACAATTTTTGTTGCAATTTTTCAGAATTAATTAATTAATATTAAAAGTTTATTTAATAACTTGTACAATGTTAATTTTAAAGTATATTTTTGACGACGCGCTTAACAGTTGAAGGGATTTTATATGTCAAAATATACACAGTTCAAAGTTATACATATAGTATTGAATAAAGCATCATTTCAATTAAAAATAAATAATTATTCATTAATTTATTTAAATAGTATTTGATTTTATTTCATCATTTTTGAGCTTAACACTTAAACTGCATACAAAGTATAAGAAATGAAAAATTATCATAAATGAAAAATCACAATTGTCATTCCATTTAATATTTTTTAATGTTTACAGTTGTCATTTTATATGAAAATGGAAATATGATTGTTTTCAGCTGTTTATTGATTCTTTGATATAAGATTTAATTTTTCAGATAAATTGTAAATTTTCTTTTTCTTTGTAAATTTTAGATTTACAAATTTATTTTTTTATCTTTGCTTAAATATTAGTATAAATTAAAAAAATAATTTTTATATGCTAAGACACTAGTATAAATAATTACTTGACTTTTCGCTGATGTAGACTAGAGCTACTGCTATCTGGATTTATTATGGCGTCATTTGTTGAGAGTACACCATCTTTAAAGGCATGACCATTCAAATAGCCATTTTTATAGACACCACCATTAGTAGACAGATATCCATTAGTTTTACTTATATTGTATTCATCATCCAAAACAGGCTAAAAGTAATGGAAAAATAATATTGATTAGAGAATTTTTTTCAAAATTGTTAGAAATCACAATTAATTTTAGAGAATTTTGTAAAAAAGTTAATGTTATGCTAAAAAATTATTAATTTATCTGAGGCAGTTTCCACAACACTATTTGGACTGCGCAGAAATGATATCAAAATCCGCGAAGAATTATTAACAGCACGCAGTAAGCTTAGATATCCTAACAACAAAATTGATATGAGTTTAGTATGAGCCATTTCTATTGGAAATGGAAGATGAGCAGAAGTAAATTTGTCAATTTTTAGAAATCTAAATAAAACAGGTAACATAACATAAAAGAATTACAAATATGTATACATGGGTAAGGATGTGGTGTGAGAAGGAATTGTTTAGGAGCAAACCCGGTTTGGTGGTGCAGAGGTTTCAATAGCGACAGGGTTTACAATTCGAAATCACTCTTCAATTTTAACGACTAAGTGTCGTTCACCATTCCCAAAAACGACTACACCATGAAAATTGTCCATCTCAGACTAGTTGGGTTTCTACAAAAAAACGGAATAAAGCAAAACTGTCAAAGGTTCTCACGTTCATTAAGATTCTTATTACAAATCTTTATTTCCTTCGGTAAGATAAAAAGAGAATGGAATTATCAAAAACCAAGTTTCTGATCAAATATATTCTTGAGTTGAACATGTAGCTAAAGAGTGGCAGTGCACAGTATTTTTAACTTGATCATTTTGGTAATAATAAATTATATGCTATACGATAGTAAAAATTATTTTAACCTTAATTATGAAGAGTTTCACTGAAGATTTTATATATATTACATTATGAGTCATTTAAAGAAGTATTTTGAAATTCATTTTTATTTGTTTTTTTCTTAATTCAAGTGAAAAACTTAAAAAAATGTGCCTATTTAAAAACATTTTTTGTATATTCAACGTAAACGTAAAGCACTTGGAAGAAGTATATTTGTAGGCACGTGCACAGCAGATTGATTCTAAATGCGTTGAAGATTATTTAGATTGAAAATTAACACTTTATGCATAAAGTAGATATAATAATTAGTTATTAACATAATAACTATCCGGTTTCGCAATTACTTGTTAATTTAAAAATTCAGCCATAAGGGAGTGCATGCAAAATTCTAAAGTCTTTTAAAATCTAAGGCAACAATGTGTATTTTTATGTAAATAATTACACGTAACAAACGCGTATACTTAAACAATTCGCATAACTCAGAAGTGAATTAATTGTTTTTTGTTCTTAATGCGTAATTCTAATGAACTTAAAATGTTGCACAATTATTTTTATTTACAAAATGACATAGTTAAATAGTACTTGGAAAACTCTCAAATCTAACTAACGTCAGATTTAAAATGTATTTGCATACACTTGTGTGCAAATTACTTTATTTTATTTACTTTTACGGGCTTAAATTTAGCAAAGGTTAAGTGCATAAGGTGACAACATAGTGAATAGATTTTTAATTAATTTTTTTAATAAACAAACTACTTCAGTAAAAATTACAAGTGTCGATTTTGTGGCATAACAAAATATATTAAAATATTTGCGCAAAAAAAAGTATAATTTTTACGCTTTTAATGGGTTATACCTACCATACAAGCGCCTTTATTGCTATCTCCATTAGGCAATTGTTCATCATGGTTTATGAATTGCTTAACATTGCCATTACTACAATTACCATTGGGTATTGTACTACCAATTTTGCTATAACCATTTACTTTTATTGCCTGTTGACCTGGTTTTCGTCTTTCTGCATTTGTATATTTTGCTTTGTAAAAGTCTGAGAATAGGAATAAGAACATAACTCCGTGCAAACCAATCCAGATCATAAAGCCTTTTGGATAATCACAATCTCTGAACAACAATTGGAATTGATGTGTAAAAATGGCAACAAATTGGACCTGGAAATGTACATAAATTTAATTAAATTTTCATATAAAAAAAAAATTATTAAATTTTAAAATAATAATATAATATACCATTTGGAAAGTTGTGAGGTATTTTTTCCACCAAATGAATTTTTGGTATTTAGGACCCATGGCAGCAATCATATAATAAAAATACATAACAATATGTACAAAGGAATTTAGTAGTGCAAAGAATGTGCTGTGACCACCTGTAAATAAGCACATACATATAAATATATATATTTTATATTGAACATTTTTACAAAGAAACATTCATATATACAGACTAATCAAATAAATTACGAAAAAGTTTCAATAAAGATTGTTTACCTGGAGCGAATTTCATGCCCATCCAAACCGAGAATGGCATACAGCCGTGATGAATGACATGCAGCGTTGAGACATGTTCAGTTTTTTTACGTAATATGAAAAATAATGTATCAAAGAATTCAGTGAATTTAGCAATGTAATACCACCAACAGGTACGGGCCATCTACAATGAAAAATGTGTGCATTGTTGTTGTATTTTAAAAAGCAATATATGTCAAATTAATGCTAGGATAGTAAAAGGAGTAAATTGGAAAAAAGGATATACTGATTATTCTAATATTATATATATAAATGTAGGATAAGTAAATAAATATGTTAAGATAAATAATGTTTTAAATAAAAATAAATTTAATACAAAAATTATATGCATAAATAGGTAGCGATTTTAAATTTAATATAAAAATTGTATTAATAAATAGATAACGATTTTTCAATAAATAAATAAAGTTTCTTGTAAAGATAGATTTGTTATAAAAATTGTTTTTTAGTAAATAAATAAGTTTAATATAAAGATAAATTTAAAATGTAAATTATATACATAAGTAGGAAGAATTTTTTAAGCGAATGAATGAAGTTTAATATAAAGATACTGTAATATAAAATTGTATGCATATATGAAGCGTTTTATAAATAAACAAATATATAAAAATAAATTTAATATCGAAATATCCGAATGTAACTTTATTAAAATAAATAAATAATAACTTTTATAATAAAATGAAATGTACAAATAGTTAATCTTTTGCAAGTAAATAAATAAAAAAAATTCAATACTTAAATTTTATAAATAAAAAATTGTAAAAACATAAATGTAATACAAAAATAATACGCTATTCTTTCATAAATAAAATAAAAAAATTTTAGATGTTTTTGTTTAATATTATATCTTTAATTTATATATAAATATAAATGTAAATATATATCGTACATATTTAAAACGTATATGTATCTTTATATATATATTCTGCATATAACAAAATATAATTATCGTATGATATTAATCAATACTTTTACTTACACGTAATGCTAAAGGATTATTTGAATAGTCTACAGGTTGGCATTTAAGGCTATAGTGACCCCACCACCCACTCATCAAATACTGAAAAAGAGAAAAAGTTTTTAAACAATAAACTTAAAATTAATTTATGTTATTAAAATAAAAATGTTTACCTCATAAAATATCCATGCACTAAATATCGTTTGAAATAAATTATAATATATTAAAATTTTCCTAAGATCCAAAGGTTTTCTGTTAGCCATTAACTTTGGTGCTAAGGATTTACTAAAGTAAGCGTAAAATACACATAGTGTCAATGTGGGAAATGGCGATGACATCATGGGCCAGTCTTTAACTCGGGGATCTGAAAATGTGTACGCAATATATATAAATATATATATGTTACAAAGATCATTTGGTTGAAATGAAATAATAACTTACCGCTTTGATTATCCATAAGGTCCCTATACCAGTCGTTAATTTCATGAAGTATGATAGCCATTTTAATATATATTATAACTAAAATAAAAGAATAGAAAAAATATTAGATAAATGGTAATTATGAAGTAGAAATTAGTAGATAATTAAATTAATAGATATTATTAAGAGTGCCTTTGCAATGCAAGTCTATGGAAATTTTATATAATTTTGTTTATGTTTTAAAATAACAGAAATACAGTTCAAAAAGTCAAAATTGAAAACAGGATCGCATTAAAAATAAAATAAATTTATTTCACATTCTTTCCGAATATTTATTTATAAAAACGTATTTAACTTGTTTAGAATAACCAGCTAAGGGCAATGATTTTGCATTTAGTAAAAAAAATAAATGGTGTCAAATGTTACGCACATTTTTTTTAAATTAATTAGCAAATAGTTTGAAATTTATGTATCTGTAACAATTAAAACAATTTCGCAAAAATAAAAAAAAAATATAGAACAACATGTAAATAATTGATTTATAAGCACCGAAAACCTTGAATTTCATTCAGTTCATTTTATGGAATATTTTCACTTTTGTTTTGTTTAATTGTTTTCCATTTTTATATAAATAAATATATTGTTATAAAGACATTATATATGCGATTAATTCTTACATTATATAAAGCGATTAATTCTTACCTTTTACAAATTCCTAGCTAATAATGTAAATTGAAATTTTTGAACACTTTATATAGTTGTACGATATCTGTTAGACGTCCTTTTATGTTTATAATCTAAATGAAATATAAAAAAATAACAAATATTAATATATCTAAGTTTACAGAGATTTAAAACAATAATTATCATATTGAATTATTCATCAATTTATTTAATCGGTGATGAAAATAGAATCTATATCTAAAGCCAGATACTTTGCAATTTTACATGGTTTAAAGAGAATGAAAAACTCTGCTTGAATGGCTCAGACACTGAGATCTATATAGGAATAGTAATCGAAATTTGGTTATTGTAGACAGGTGTCGACATTAAAGCTCGAAAGCCCAACAATAGAATACATTGGCAACTAAAGAAATACAGTCGGAGTCATAAGTCTAGAAGCAGGCAGTACAAAAACTTTGTTTGAAAATATTTTCCAAAAAAATTAATTTATTGAAAACATACTTTATTGTTTTTTTATAATATTTAATGCACAATGTTTTTGCGAAGTTTCGTTTCATGTGTTCAAAAAACAGCCGAGATAACGGTACTTTTATCGTAAAGAGTAGCAAAACAAGCGATCAAAAGTCTACCGGGTATTTATGCAGTTCTATGGGGAGTTAAATGTTAATTGGTAATAATTTGGATTATCACCAATTAACATACGAGCTTAATAACTTTTTTGAGTAAAACAACATATATAAACCAAGAACAAAAATCAAAACTTAAATAAACACGAAGAAATCTAAAGTGATATCCGCTCTTACAAATATTACCTACCGGATATATAAAGTAGGAACTAATAACATACGCAATTTATGTGGTCTGAGGTAGTCAACTAGTCTGGCTGTCACAACAACCTAATCGTGGCTATGTGGCTACGACAACGTTCAATTGATGTCTCGGTAATTTAACGTTGTAATTTCACAAAAATAAATTTACATAAGATGTTATCACAATATCGAGTTATCGACTAACTGAGGGAGTCTGAATACCCCTAATATATTTTAAAGTATTTAACAATACGAGTGTATGAGATTCAATTAATGTATATACATATGTATTTTGACATTGTACATCATACATAAAAACAAATACTAGCAGTTTTATTATAAATTTTTACTATTCGAATAAAAATATTATGAAAACAATAAAATTTATTGAAGTCAACTTTGTGTGAAGCTTCTTTTATAAAAAAAAAAACAATGAATTCTCTCTGTAGTACAGTTTTAGTTTTTACTGATTTATTTCTTTTTTTTTTTTTGACGTCAACTATTCTTTACACATAAATAGTTTAAATCAAACTGATTGGTGTTAATTAATTAAGAGATAGAGGTCAAAGTACAGAAAATTTTATCATAAGTTGTACAAAATTTTGAATTAATAACGTCAAAAACAGTAATGATATTTTAATTAAATTTAAATTATAAAAATTGTTAATAATAACAATTAATATTATAATTGTTATTATAACACAAATTATTTATATTTAATGACTATAAATTCATTTTAATCATAAAATAAGTTCTTAATTAATAACGACAAAAAACTTGAAAATTACAGTTATAAAAAACTATATACGAATATAAATATTAAAAAAAAAAACATGAATATATTATATATACTCCTATAAATATTAAAAAAAAACATGAATATATTATGTATACTACTATAAATATTAAAAAAAACATGAATATATTATATAACTACTATAAATATTTAAATCGTGTATACGAGTAGGAATAAACCACCAGTGTGAGGGAAGCCTAAGAATATCGGTACCCGTGCCTAACTATAACATACATGTTCTAGTTAAGTACCTAATGACAATTTTAAACATTAAAATTGTATATGTAAATAAACATTTAATCACCAGTATCAGGACCGACCTACTAAATCAGGCGCCTGAATAAATATGAAAAAAAAAAATTTATAATACATATTGTTTCGTAAAATAATTAAGTATAACTGACCCTATCTATTACCGCATAGATGTTTTTAATATTAGGAATTCTCCTGATGAAGGCAAAACCGAATTTGCCCAAATATGTACTTAAATATTCAAAAAATTAATACTCGAAATAAAAATTAATATTCCTAAAAAAATAAAAAAACCGATCCTGCTATAGTTTTCAAATGTGCTTACATTTTTTAAAGGATTCGAATTTATTTATCGTTCTTTTTTATTTTTATATATAAGCGAATATCAATCAATAAAATAGAGAACAGAAACACAGGATCCACTGAATCTTATTGGCCTATGTGTTCTCATATAAAACTCAAAAGTTTAAAACTATTGTAAACTTTTAATAAAATCCAAAATGTTTCTTAGAATAGGCTTAGATTGTTTAGAAAGTATAAAAAAAATATCTGATAACATATATTTTGGTCAATGACAAAACAGACATGAAGCACTTTCTTTGTATTCGTCACAGTTGCAACAAAAATCATTTAAGTGAATATTCTATCTTCGAGCATAGTATCCTAATCGATAGTGACCCATTAGCAAACTGACTGTAAGACTTATATCATTAGATGACATACTAATGGGATTGTTAGACTTTTTCTTATCTAAAACGGGTCAGCTTACGTACAGATAGAAGTCTGCATATAAAGAATATTTTAAATGTTTTTATTGTGGTGCTGTGCTATCTCTGCATGCAAAGAAGGTTAAAGAAGGTCTTCGTTAAAATCAATCTATTATAGGTTTTATATCTGAGGAATTTATTTTGATTAAAAGTGTTTGGAAGTTGTTATTCAAATATGTTATTAAAACAACTGCTATATGATTTTTTAAACATCAGTTTTGAATAGCATTTGAAGAATCACTTATATGTCGTCATTCAATATCTCAGGATAAATTTACTAATTTATGTTTCAAGTGTACATTATTAAGCTATTTCATTGCATAAAGTTATAAAACTATTTGCTGAAATAGATGAATATTACAATTCATTTCAAAAGACCTTCCTAGAAAAAGAAAGACATACTCATAAAAACCTTATGATATGAAACTAGAAAGAATGATATTATAACATTATACTTTAGAAAGGCCAACAACAGTGATGCTGTTGTAAAATTATCATATGAGAAATGTAAACCTAGATGACACTTATTTCATAAACGAACTTATAATGAAAGCAGAAACATAATTATAAATAACATTGAGGACATAACCAGGTGCGTCCATATGTTTTCTCTACTTTTCGTCATTATATTTATATTGTGAATATAAAATATTCTTTATTGTAAATACTATTTTCGAGTGCTTTTAAATGAATAAATAAATATATTTATACAAAAAAAATTTTTTACAGTAATGGAAATGCTCCTTAAAAATCTTTCCATTTAAAAATTGTTATGAAAACCGTAAAAATAAATAATGTTCTATACTCAAAGTTAATTTAAAAGCCTTAAAGCTTTCGATTTTCTACAGAGATAAAATATTATATATTATATTATGTTATATGAAAAGATTATACATTAAAAAAATAAATAAAATTTTGTTTAGTAAACAAAAAATCATTGAAAAAGTACCAAAAAAAACCTTCAGAAACTGAAATTTTGCAGTTGTGACAAATTTTTGAATGCATTTATTCAGACAAAAAACAAAGAAACAAACATTTTTGTCGGTACAGTGTAAGTCAGTCACACTTTGCTGCTCCATTAGAGGCAAGCAATGTGATGCAAGCCAACGACTCTACCTAACTCCAAGGCAATCAGCCAATCTAGCCAACGCCGACTGTTACTAGCAGCGGCTGTTACTTGAATTTTGAATGTCATGATCAAAGCGATTTTGTAACACAATTTTAAGCATTTGTTGATTGTGTTGTGGGTCAGTGGTGTATATATGTATGTACATGTAGCATGTGCACGTTTATCAACAAACCGAAAGTAATATAATTTTTATTTGTTTTTTTTTTATTTATATTTAATTAAAACTGGCATATAATTGTCGAATGATAATCACAACAATAGCAGAATTTATCAATTTGTCAACGTTAAGATAGTTGACACATGAACATTTTTTTTTTGCCGTTACCGCAAAAAGACTAACATATATATACAAATATATAATCTTAATATTCGTTTATAGTTAATTTGTATACCATATAATAAAAATGGTGCAATAGCGCATTCCACAGCAGTTGACAAACATTATCATATAAATATTTTTAAAATATTGAGATAAATTGCTGACGATGAAGATGACGATGACGGTTATGATGATGTCTCAACTTTGCCAAGTTATTACATAAAATATCTGAATTATAAAAACCGCTAAAAGTAAAATAAAAAAAAATATTCATACATATGTGCATATTATGGTAAACACCTCAAAGCGGTAGCGAATAAGTTGCCTTTAATTTGCGCTCTGCTCTCTGCGGTTGTAATCACATTTTGCAATAAACCAACCAAAGGCACAAACATACAAATCTTTAGTTGTGCAAAGAAAAAATTTTTATGTATGCAAGTAATTTCAAGATATTCAATATCATTCATTCGTCATCATCATTTAAATGTATACATACATATATGTATTATACGAATCCATTCGTTCAATGGTTCGATAATTAACCCAACACTTCCGTATGATAATTCGAAAGTGATAAATGAATAAGAAATAATATTATTAAAAATATGTAACATTCATTAAAAATTATTAAAAAAAAAAAGGTGCAAGCACGCAAATTTATTGTTTACATTTTTAAACATTTTATAATTTTTAAATAAATTTCAAATATTTACAATCATACATTGTTTTTGCAACAAATACTCTGGGTGTAGTTACTTTAAAGTACGATTACCTGACTATATTATTTCAAATTTTACAGTTCACGTTTCATCAAGTTGGCAATAAATTACACAAAGATTACACAACACACAATTTCATAGTTTTACTACGGAAGAAAATTTTTATTTAAACTTATTGCACTGCAGATTTTAATGTTCAACTTATGATCAATAAATTTAAGCTTTTAATCTTCAGCTAAGTCCAAAGAGATTGACTTATTTGCGTTATGGATAGATGAATATCTGTCTTTGGTTTTAGGTCTTCAGTTTAATCTTACGCACC